GGGATATAATATTATTAACCATTTAAAAGTTATGAACAAAAAACTTTTGTTAAATTTCGTTGTTTTCTATGAGCAATTACCACGTCAAAAATGCACTAAATCACCAGTTTCCACTTTTAAAACACTACTAAAACGTTTCCGGTTATTATTTTATGCAAACCAAATCATTTATTCTCTTTTATTGTATATATTTCGTTAATAAAACAGAGTAAACAAACTTTGCGCCTGCTAAAATTATTATAACCTCAAATCGCTGGTATTGCCACTTTATTTCACATTTCATTTGCGCTATTATACTCAGTTTACACTATACACTATACACTTCTTCTTCTTCTTTTTACTTTCATCTAAATAAGATATTGTAACCAAAATATAATAGCAAATTTCGCTATACCATCGCGCGTTTTTTTATTAAAAATTTTCATTATTTATCGAAGTATTGATTTTTATGGAAAAAGCGCCGCAGTCGAAAATTTTTAATAAAAAATCGCGCGATTTTTTATTAAAAATTTTCATTATTTATCGAAGTATTGATTTTTATGGAAAAAGCGACGCAGGCGAAAATTTTTAATCGCGCGATTTTTTATTAAAAATTTTCATTATTTATCGAAGTATTGATTTTTATGGAAAAAGCGCCGCAGTCGAAAATTTTTAATAAAAAATCGCGCGATTTTTTATTAAAAATTTTCATTATTTATCGAAGTATTGATTTTTATGGAAAAAGCGACGCAGGCGAAAATTTTTAATAAAAAATCGCGCGATTTTTTATTAAAAATTTTCATTATTTATTCATATATTAAACGAAAGAAGATACCGAAAAGCATTGAACAGTGCACACATCTCATAAGGAAAAGTGAATTATTACGACATACTAATACAGTGGCAGCACTATAGCTTTTTTGGAATCTCGCGTTTCGGCTCGCAAAGATTGCCAACTTCTTTTTAATAACAAAATAATCTATCTTAGGTTGATAAAACTATGGGTTTCTTTAATAAATAAGTTAAATTATATATTTTAATAGTGTTTAAAAAGTGAGAACAGGTGATTTAGTGAATCTTTGTCGGTGTAATTGCCCATAGAAAACAACGAAATTTAACAAAAGTTTTTTGTTCATAACTTTTAAATGGTTAATAATATTAGTTCGCCCCCTCCGGATTGTTATTTTCCACACCTTTTTTAGGGGTTGTTACCCCACCCTAGAGAATTACCCATTTGAATATTAATTAATGGCGTTATAAATCTCTTTTTTAGAAAATTTCAAAAGTTAAAAAATTACGTACAGTGTAATTGGAAGCCAATCACTCATTAACCTCTTCTAATTAAAAAAAGTGTAGTATTTTTTAGCGAAAAATGTGTTTGAAAAATGTGTTTGAAGGCCCTAAAACAAATTTTTGAGTGCTGTATGCATAACAAAATGCATAGCCAAAACAAGCGCGAAAAATATCTCCCATACAACGTCGTTGAAAATTTTTCGCGATAACTTTATCGCAATAAGCTGTTGTGAGTGATGGCGAATGGATTACTTGCATCGTTTTTTCCATTTATGAGAGGCCGACATGGACAATGCTCGGACTTATTATATTCGAGTGAGAGGAAACCTCTTTGTTTTTTCGATCGCGAATGCAAAGCAGCGGAAATTTGTTTGCCGATCGCATTCCGAATGGGAGAGATGATAAATTTGTTTGCATTTTTCATTTGGAATATTATCGATCATGATAAATTTCATAAATGAATGAAAACGAATTATCATAAATGAGAACTTCCGTACCCTGGCTAAAACAGTTTGAGATGGAATGACATAGCGCAAACCCTTAATTGTGTTGACATGACATAGAAATGCATACAGTTTTAGAAAACGACCTTTTTACAGAAAATGTTGAATTTCGCAGTACTTTAGTAGATACATATCGTCGTTTAAAGTACAAAACCGCGTATGGTCATTCTGCAAAACCTCGTAACTGACATTGGTTGCCAAAAATTGGATTTGCTCACACAAGCTCTTGGCTCAATCCTTATCCATTCGTCCTGAAATATACTAGCCAGAAACGCGATTGCTTTATAAAAAAAAAGAGAACCATTTTGAAATATGAGTGTTTTTACTCTCTAGAAAATAAGTTATGCAACCTCACATACGCGGTCTTGCATTATCTTGATACGCTGATTTGTACCTTAAACGACGATATGCATATGGGGAATTGGTACATAAGGTCAAAATTGAGAATCTCATAACCAAAGTACTTAACATTTTTACAGTAGTACTGTAATACTAAATTTATATTAAAGATGAATTCTTTTTTGGCAAAAAGAAATATAGGCGTGGTGTACGGTTCGGCTGTTTATTGAACTCTGAACCAAAAAAGTACATACAATTCATATTTTCCTACACAGGTACTCTTATAGCCACCTAAGTTTGTTTACTGGATATACTGAGAAACAAAGCTTCTCAGCGGTGAAAACTATACTATTGTGAACAACCTAAAGGAGCGAAATTCACAATAGCGCTATTTTTCATCGAATGAGCGCCATAATACCAAATGAAAATTCGTTCGATCAGCACTTTCCATGAACGAAAGACACAAGATCACGTAAGAACAAGAGAGTAACAAAAGTCGATTTTTAGCGGGTTCTACGCCATCTTGTTTCACTGGAAAACGAGCGAAAAGTAAACAAAGCAAAGAAAACAACGAAAACCAAAATTAGCCAAAATTATTGTCAGCCGCTTTAAACGCACAATTTAGGTAAAATGATGCAACAAAATGCTTTAAAATGTGTTGTCATGTTGAATTAACTCTTCTTTACTTGAATAAAAGTGTAAAATAGTGGTGCTTGTGATGTAAACAAACGCTCAGCTGACGAACCCGCTTTCACAAACTTTTTTCTCAAAACCAGTTACAAATACAACGTCGCGTTCTTACGTGATCTTGTATGTTTGGTTCATGAGCACTTTCGACCACAGTCGAAGATCGAATAATAGGGCACTGTCACACGGTCAGTATTTCTTGACGTGATCCAAGTATCGCGATATTTATTGACGGTGTAGCATGCAGTATTGATGGATCGTGATCCATATCTCAAAATTTCTAAAAAAATTTAAAGCTGGATCGCGGATCGCAATATTGTCAATAGATATTGAGCGAGTAGCACTTTCAAAAAGCGATCCATACATTTCGTCTGTACATCTTGTACTCTCATAATGCGAACATCGAAAACGTATTTGCTATGCTTTCGTTCTCGTTGCTTAAAACCTTTCGAAACAAATTGAAAAAATTTTTATTAACATGGGAAATTTTAAAATAATTGTGGAAAGCGTTATCTGCAAATTGTTAATACAAAATAAAAATATTTTATCGCACATATATAATACTCCTATATTGGCAATAAGAGCTAGTACCGTCCGAAAACACTACAGTACAGATATATCAATATCAATATCATTGAGAAATTAGCTTACTGCCAATATAGAAGTATTACATATATGTTTTCTCGCATCATAATAATTATTTTTTTTTTTTTGCAAATGTATTGGAGTTTCCATCAGTCGCGTCTTGCAGGGAAGTGTTCACCACAAAAATTATACAAATACTCACGCTATAAGTTTTGGGCATGTAGCATTCGTGTGCGATCCATCAATCTGGATCGCGATCCAAATATCGTGATAATTACTGAGTGTGTGACAGGGCCCATAGGGGCCCAAAAATACAATCACAGTGGCAACCTTGATTATCTTTCATTGTTTATTTTCTTTTTACGTGATTTTGTTACGCTTTTAAATATTTGCTTTTGTTTGTGAAAATCAGCTGGTGACTCACCTAGTATTTATTTTTTGATATAAAATTCTACTTAACGAGAAATGTTTAATAATTTTTTTGGAAAGAAGCCAACAGTCAAAGAACAGCAAAGGGAAAATGACAAGAATTTACGGAAAGCAACGCGTGATATAGAGCGCGAACGCCGTAAGCTGGAAGAAGAGGAAAAAAAACTGCAACAAGAAATTAAACGAGCCGCGGCGCAAGGTAACAACGATGTCTGCCGTATATTGGCAAAACAACTTATAGAGATTCGTAAACAAAAGTCTCGAACGTTTGCCGCTACTAGCAAAATCACCTCCATTGGTTATCAGAACAAAAATATTGGAACAAATGTCGTGCTTGCAGATGCCATGGGTACAACAGCAAAAACAATGGGCGATATGAACAAGGTTATGCGCCCCGAGAGTATAGCAGCCAATGTTCGGGACTTCCAAAAAGCAAATATGCACATGGAAATGACAGACGAAATGATAAATGATACGCTTGATGACATGTTGACCGAGTCGGGAGATGAGGAAGAAAGTGACGCCATTGTTAACAAGGTTCTGGATGAAATCGGAATTGAAATATCGGGTAAAATGGCAAGCATCCCTGCTACAGGTTCCGGAGATTTGGGAAAAAGTTCACGCACGGAAAAGGATATTGAGGCACAATTGGCAAAGCTACGGTCCTCTTAGATAGTATAATGAAAATAGAAATAAAGTTAATGTTATAATTCATAATTGCTTTACAATCGTGTGAAAATATCTACATATGTACATACGTCTTTTGAACAATGGGCCTGTTCGATGCACGTAATAAAATCGGCAATATTGCAGCACTGATGAAAACTTGCAGTACTGTTGCCACTTTCCAACTGATAAAACTTTGCTAGAAATTCACACCGAACGTGATACTTTAATAATGCGCGCAACGCCGCGGTTGTGATGGCATATCGAACAAGCCCAGTAGATTAAGAAAATCGGAACCTTTTCGTTCTTCATTAAGAGACTTATTCGTTTTTAAAAAGCATTCCTTCCTCGGTCGTACAATTTTAATGAGTTAAATAAAAGAAAATGCAACGATTTTTTATTAACCATCTTGAACTAACAAAAATTCTGAGTATTTAGCATACATTTTACTTAGTAGGCCTATGTAGTATGGACATTAAATCCACCCAAACTTTTTGCTTTTTAAACGGCTATCACGGAGTCCATCGTAGTCGGAATTTTAGCGAAATCTACGAAAACGCTATTACTGAATCCGAATAGCCACGAACGTCTATATACATACTTTGAATGCATACGTTCGTAGCAATTCAGTCATCGCATTTTCGTAGATTTCACGAAAATCGCAATTCGATGGATTCAGCGATAGCCAAGAATAGGCTTGCTGCTCCCATATTTCACGAACAACCTGACCCCAGCAAAGCATAAGCATGGTTTTCATATAGTGCACAGTACAACAACAGAACTTAACGCCATAAACACTCAGATAACTCGTGGCCTTAACCGAAACCGCCCCTG